TTCTAGTTTTCACTTTTACAACTCTTACACGTCCATCTCTGCTTGTACAAAGTTCTTGGACACGAGCAATTGGCCAGTTCACTCTTTTAAGGTTCTCACAACCTATTAGCACGATGTCTCCAACTTTTAATTCACAGTCCGTCTGTCCATGCTTTTGTACTAACTGTCCAAGGTACTCCTTGCGGAAACGGCTACGAAATTGTTCTCGAAGTTCCTGGCAGAAACGCTGACGAGCCAAGAGTTTATTTCGATCTAAAGCATCCAAATCTGCTGTACCTGAAACCTTAATGTCCTGTAAGAACATGGAAGGCGTTAATGGTAGAAGATCCTCAGAGTCATTTGACACATAAGTAAGTGGTCGACAGTTTATTACGGCTTCCACATCACAGATGACGGTGAGTAACTCTTCGTAATTGACTGCAGCTTGTCCTAAGACTCTCACAATCAAATTCTTGGTTGTGCGGATTAGACGCTCCCACCATCCGCCCCACCAAGCAGCAGTGGGCGGAATGAACTTCCAAGTGATGGGATGCAAAGTTTCCTGAGCAATTACCTTTACCCAGTCAACCTTTTTCAGCAATGCAGATGTACCGACGAAATTTGTGCCGTTGTCTGAGTAAACTGTAGATGGCCGACCTCTTCTGGCTATGAACCGACAAAACGCTTGAATGAAGCATCCGGTACTTACGGATGTCATTAGTTCCAAATGTACACATCTATATACAGCACACGTAAACAGTACTACCCAGTCTTTGTTTTTATTTTTGAGAATCAGAGGGCCACATAAATCTATGTCGGTAACTTCAAATGCAAAAGCATCTCGAATGCTGTCTAATGGTAATTGAATGGGTACAGTAGTTGGAGGTTTTGCTGAAAATCATTTACAACGGATGCACTGTTTCACCACCGATCTAATTCGGCATCTTGCACCAATGATCCAGAATTCTTCTCTAATTATAACAGTTAATGCTTGTACGCCGGCATGAGAATGCTTTAAATGGTAATCTCTAATTAAACAGTCAACAATATAATGCTTAGAAGGTAATAAAATCGGGTACCGGAATGCATAAGAATCATCTCGTTCGGTGATTTTTCGTTTTTACTCTTCTTAAGCCACTCTGATCTCGTACGGTCAAAAGACCATTGATGGAGTCTCCAGTCTCTGGAAAACTCTCCCCCTGAACAAGTGAAAGAAGTATAATTTTAGATTCCTTTATCTCGGAAGCAGACAGAAAAGGCTCTTTATTTACAATTTTCTTTTGACAATTTTTGATAAATCTCTTTATCCAACCTAAAACTCTTAACATTTTTGAAAATTTAGAGAACTTCTCACACCACTTAACTTTATCCGCTTTTGTAGTTATACTAAGATTTACATTTAAATTTATGCCTTTCCTGCGCTCTGAAAAAACTAAAGTTTCATTTGGCTTAACCTCTAATTTTGGCCAGCTATCTCTAGGGTCTTTGAGCCAAACAGGCCCTCTCCACCAATTTAATTCGAAAAACTGAAGAGGGGAACAACCACGAGAAGGTAAATCAGCTGGGTTAGAATGACCCTGTACATATGACCACTGATTTGCTTTAGTGAAAGCGCAAATTTCCTTCACGCGATTGCCCACAAAAGTCCCCCACGCATCATTTCTTTGAATCCAAGATATGGCCGTGGTGGAATCGGTCCAAAAATATTTCGGGATGTCATCCAATGTAAGAGCTTCTGTCACATATTTGGAAAGACGCACGCCCAAAAGACAGGCCATAAGTTCTAGACGGGGAATAGTAAGTTCTTTTAAGGGTGCGACTCTTGACTTAGCCATTACAAAACTGACTAATGTTTCTTCTTTAGTTTCGCATCTCAAAAATATTACCGTGGCATAAGCATGCTGGCTAGCATCACAAAATACATGAAGTGTCCAGGAACTTCTATCTCCAAAACCTATACGTCGCGGTATTCTCAACTTATTCAAAATTTGTAATTTATTATACCACCTCGAAAATTTACTTTTGATACTATCTGGTAATGGAGTATCCCAGTCTGCTTTTATCGCCCAAATTTCCTGTAGCAGTAACTTTGCAGGCAATAAAACAGGTGTCAAGAAACCCAAAGGATCAAACATTGTCTGCGTTACTGACAAAACCTCTCTTTTAGACAAATTATCCGAAACCAATACAGTCTTAATTTCAATATAAAGGTTATCTTCTATTCTGTCCCACATAATTCCTAAAACTGGTACAGAATTCTCCATTGTGGACTCAGTGCACAAAGTACTTTGGGTTAGTTCCACATCTTTTTCTACTGGGCCATAGGTCCACATACGTAAGTCCATTTTTGCTTCAGCTAATATTTCAGTAGAAGATTTCACAAAATTCACAAGCTCCTTTTCGTTATCAACAGAAGTCACACAATTATCAATATAAAAGGATTTATTTAATTTCTGAGCAATAGAACTTTGTTCCTTTGGTACTTGTGCCAAATGAACTGAAATAACCGCTCCTAATAGAAAAGGGCTAGACTTTACTCCAAAAACTACCCTCGTATGGCGGAAAACCTTCAGTACATTATCTTTCTCCCACCATAAAAATCTTAAAAAGTCCCTATCTTCTTTCCGTAATTCAATCTGTAAAAATGCACGCCGGATATCAGAGGTTACGCCAATGCATTTTTCTCTAAATCTTAACAAAATTGAAGGGATTTCTTCTATTAAATTTGGTCCTTTTACTAAGTAATCATTAAGGGAGGGCGATCTATTAACTTTACATGATGCGTCAAAAACAGGTCTTATCTTAGTTGAGACACTGTCTGGTTTAAATACTGGGTGATGCGGTAAGTAGTGCCCTTTATAATTCAGTTCATTGTCTGGTACTATTTCAATTACACCCTCCTCCATCCATTCATTAAAAATTCTATCATATTCTTCATATTTATGTAAAGACTTGAGTTTTCGGGTGACACTGAACAATCTTTTTTCTGCTACATGACGATTTGATGGCAATTCTGCGTTATATACTAACCAAGGTAATCCGACACAATAACGACCATCTTCGTTTCTGGAAAGAGAGTTTAAAAATTGTTCGTGGGCAATTTCTTCCTCAGCAGCGTTAGTTGAATTCTGGTGAGCATCTAATATTCCGATCGTTTCTAAACTCCAAAGATCGGAGATTTTAAAGTCGTGACCCACTAAACTTGCACACAAAATGGAAGCATCTTTATCTTTGTGATTAACAAATTCCTCCGATACACCACAAACTGTCCAACCAAGTTTTGTACAAACTGCTGTTAGTCCTCCTTTTAATTGTTTTACTGATCCCGTGAGAATTTTTCCATAAATATCACTACCGATGAGCATTTCTATTTTTGGACAATCTGCTCCCAGATCCGACAACCAAATGTTGTTTCGTTTTAATTCTTTTAATATCGGACCCTTGGGTACCCGAGGTATATCCCCACATATTATGTCTTGATCTAAAAATTCAAATTCTAGATCTGAATACTTACGCGGACTGGCTGAACATAATTTTACCAAATATTTGTTATGCATCTTTGCCTCTGTTCTGGCACCTCCAAATAAAGTAAGAGCAACATTTTCTTTGGAAATAATTGGTAACCCCAATTCAGTGGCTAATGATTTCAAAATATACGATTTCTGGGAACCACAATCTAAGAGTACTCTAACATCTTTATGCTTTTTGACACCAGCTACTCTTACGCGTAAAGTCATTAAAGCTACGTCAGCGGTACAAGTTTGCCTGGCTGTAGCCGTATGTATGTTGTCTATTTCTGATTTTTCTGTAGGAAGTTCAGTTTCATTATTAATGTCCGGACACAAAATAACTGAGTGTGATTTACCACAAGCAAAACACCTAACAAACTGTTTACAGAACTTTGCCATATGATTTGGTTCCAAGCATTTTAAACAGCATTTTTTCTCCTTAACTTTAGAAATCCTTTCATTAAGAGATAATGAACGCGCATCGTAACAATTTTTACTATCATGCATTTTACCACAAAAAATACATGCATGTTCTCTGGTTGTAAGAAAACCTGTGGCAGTGGGAACATTTCCCTGTTTCTTAAATTTAAATTTACCTTTTGTTTCCCTCTTTGCTTTATCATGATATCCTTCTTTACGACTAACACCATCGAGTCCATTACGCGCCAATTTTAATCTCTCCTCACCCTCCACTTCAGACTTTAAAAATTTCATTAAGTTGGTAAGGCGAGAAAGATCAGTTCCTTCAGGCTGGTTAAAGAGCGAACTCCTTTGCCACGCCTTTAAAACATCCTCTGTGAGACACGATTCCACCATCGGAAATAACCACGATGTGTTTTCGCTCGATTTAAGACCTAAAGACTCTAAGGCTCTCAACTGAGCTTCAATTTTATCATACAGTTTATCAAGAGGTAATTTATCCTTTTGATCTGCCTTCACATTAGAAACAATTAATTTAATTAGTTCCCTAACATACACTTCTACTAATAATTCAGGTTTCCCAAAACGTTCCTTCAAAGCTAAAACAGCTTTATCATAATTTTCCGAAGTCACCGGATAGCTTTCAATGAATTCTTTAGCACGTGATCCGGGCTTCATACACTGAATCAAATAGGAAAATTTGTCACTTTCATATAAATCAGGGTCAGTGTGAATTTTCTCAAACTGCGACCAAAACGGTAACCAATTTATCAATTCCCCATCAAACTTCTTAAGTTCGATTTTCGGAAGTCTATACTGTTTAATCTTACTACAACAAATACCAGCACCATCATTTGGTCTTGTTTCTAAATTGATTTCATCTGAAAATTGCAATTTTTCATTAATTTGCCGAGTTAGTGTTATGAAATCATCAGAATACACCTCGCGACTTTCGATTTCTTTAGTAACATCATCCTCTAAAGTTTTTCCCGTCTTCAGCTAACAAATCAAGAATTTTATCATCTACATTTTTTATATCTGAATATACATTTTTGTAGTTTAGTAAGTTTATCTCGTACTAAATCTACAGAAAAATCTTCTTTTACTAATTCCGTTTTTAAAATATTAGCAGTTTTTGCAAAAGAAGTGCGTAAACCTGCCCGTTTAAGTTTCAGAGCCTTTAAAGCTTCCATAGTTAACTTTCAAAATAAAACAAACTGCTTTACAAAAAATAGTTTCGAATTTAAACTTAATTATACTTTAATACATCAAAAACTATCTATAACCATTAAAATAATTTTTTTTAAAGTTTATTTCTTAGAGTCCTGTCACGGGACGCCACTTTTTGTTATTACTAAAACATAGTCTTATCATTAAATATCATTAAAATAAAAATACTTCCTTCACTCATCCCAGATACCGAGCAATCCAGAAAAACTAAAGACAAAACTTGCTCACTTACCTGGGTAGTGTGATGTTGAATCTGTAATAAAAACTCTAATATGTTGATTTATCTAATTATATTCTTTCTATACTACAAAATATATACATTTTTTAACAATTGTCGGGAAATTTTTCTGGCCCCGAAAGTTATTACACACTTAATCAGTTCACGTCACGAGGTCGAAAAGGAAAAAACCCTTTTTTTCTTCCTACTTCAATGACAGCCAACGCCATCTGTGTCTCGTACATCAAAATGAAGAGATTTGTTTTTAATATTTGTTAGATACAGCTAATCAGTTTCACAACACTCCCACCTTTTTGATTTTCAGAAGGAAAATCAAAAATCAAATAATGGTATCCTTAGTACAGGAACACACTTCTAGAGGGTACAGTTTACGTACAGGACGAATCAGTATGCCATTTCTAGTTTTCACTTTTACAACTCTTACACGTCCATCTCTGCTTGTACAAAGTTCTTGGACACGAGCAATTGGCCAGTTCACTCTTTTAAGGTTCTCACAACCTATTAGCACGATGTCTCCAACTTTTAATTCACAGTCCGTCTGTCCATGCTTTTGTACTAACTGTCCAAGGTACTCCTTGCGGAAACGGCTACGAAATTGTTCTCGAAGTTCCTGGCAGAAACGCTGACGAGCCAAGAGTTTATTTCGATCTAAAGCATCCAAATCTGCTGTACCTGAAACCTTAATGTCCTGTAAGAACATGGAAGGCGTTAATGGTAGAAGATCCTCAGAGTCATTTGACACATAAGTTAGTGGTCGACAGTTTATTACGGCTTCCACATCACAGATGACGGTGAGTAACTCTTCGTAATTGACTGCAGCTTGTCCTAAGACTCTCACAATCAAATTCTTGGCTGTGCGGATTAGACGCTCCCACCATCCGCCCCACCAAGCAGCAGTGGGCGGAATGAACTTCCAAGTGATGGGATGCAAAGTTTCCTGAGCAATTACCTTTACCCAGTCAACCTTTTTCAGCAATGCAGATGTACCGACGAAATTTGTGCCGTTGTCTGAATAAACTGTAGATGGCCGACCTCTTCTGGCTATGAACCGACGAAACGCTTGAATGAAGCATTCGGTACTTACGGATGTCACTAGTTCCAAATGTACACATCTATATACAGCACACGTAAACAGTACTACCCAGGTTTTGTTTTTATTTTTGAGAATCAGAGGGCCACATAAATCTATGCCGGTAACTTCAAATGCGAAACGCATCTCGAACTCTGTCTAATGGTAATTGAATGGGTGCAGTAGTTGGAGGTTTTGCTGAAAATCGTTTACAACGGACGCACTGTTTCACCACCGATCTAATTCGGCGTCTTGCACCAATGATCCAGAATTCTTCTCTAATTATAACAGTTAATGCTTGTACGCCGGCATGAGAATGCTTTAAATGGTAATCTCTAATTAAACAGTCAACAATATAATGCTTAGAAGGTAATAAAATCGGGTACCGGAATGCATAAGAATCATCTCGTTCGGTGATTTTTTGTTTTTACTCTTCTTAAGCCACTCTGATCTCGTACGGTCAAAAGACCATTGATGGAGTCTCCAGTCTCTGGAAAACTCTCCCCCTGAACAAGTGAAAGAAGTATAATTTTAGATTCCTTTATCTCGGAAGCAGACAGAAAAGGCTCTTTATTTACAATTTTCTTTTGACAATTTTTGATAAATCTCTTTATCCAACCTAAAACTCTTAACATTTTTGAAAATTTAGAGAACTTCTCACACCACTTAACTTTATCCGCTTTTGTAGTTATACTAAGATTTACATTTAAATTTATGCCTTTCCTGCGCTCTGAAAAAACTAAAGTTTCATTTGGCTTAACCTCTAATTTTGGCCAGCTATCTCTAGGGTCTTTGAGCCAAACAGGCCCTCTCCACCAATTTAATTCGAAAAACTGAAGAGGGGAACAACCACGAGAAGGTAAATCAGCTGGGTTAGAATGACCCTGTACATATGACCACTGATTTGCTTTAGTGAAAGCGCAAATTTCCTTCACGCGATTGCCCACAAAAGTCCCCCACGCATCATTTCTTTGAATCCAAGATATGGCCGTGGTGGAATCGGTCCAAAAATATTTCGGGATGTCATCCAATGTAAGAGCTTCTGTCACATATTTGGAAAGACGCACGCCCAAAAGACAGGCCATAAGTTCTAGACGGGGAATAGTAAGTTCTTTTAAGGGTGCGACTCTTGACTTAGCCATTACAAAACTGACTAATGTTTCTTCTTTAGTTTCGCATCTCAAAAATATTACCGTGGCATAAGCATGCTGGCTAGCATCACAAAATACATGAAGTGTCCAGGAACTTCTATCTCCAAAACCTATACGTCGCGGTATTCTCAACTTATTCAAAATTTGTAATTTATTATACCACCTCGAAAATTTACTTTTGATACTATCTGGTAATGGAGTATCCCAGTCTGCTTTTATCGCCCAAATTTCCTGTAGCAGTAACTTTGCAGGCAATAAAACAGGTGTCAAGAAACCCAAAGGATCAAACATTGTCTGCGTTACTGACAAAACCTCTCTTTTAGACAAATTATCCGAAACCAATACAGTCTTAATTTCAATATAAAGGTTATCTTCTATTCTGTCCCACATAATTCCTAAAACTGGTACAGAATTCTCCATTGTGGACTCAGTGCACAAAGTACTTTGGGTTAGTTCCACATCTTTTTCTACTGGGCCATAGGTCCACATACGTAAGTCCATTTTTGCTTCAGCTAATATTTCAGTAGAAGATTTCACAAAATTCACAAGCTCCTTTTCGTTATCAACAGAAGTCACACAATTATCAATATAAAAGGATTTATTTAATTTCTGAGCAATAGAACTTTGTTCCTTTGGTACTTGTGCCAAATGAACTGAAATAACCGCTCCTAATAGAAAAGGGCTAGACTTTACTCCAAAAAACTACCCTCGTATGGCGGAAAACCTTCAGTACATTATCTTTCTCCCACCATAAAAATCTTAAAAAGTCCCTATCTTCTTTCCGTAATTCAATCTGTAAAAATGCACGCCGGATATCAGAGGTTACGCCAATGCATTTTTCTCTAAATCTTAACAAAATTGAAGGGATTTCTTCTATTAAATTTGGTCCTTTTACTAAGTAATCATTAAGGGAGGGCGATCTATTAACTTTACATGATGCGTCAAAAACAGGTCTTATCTTAGTTGAGACACTGTCTGGTTTAAATACTGGGTGATGCGGTAAGTAGTGCCCTTTATAATTCAGTTCATTGTCTGGTACTATTTCAATTACACCCTCCTCCATCCATTCATTAAAAATTCTATCATATTCTTCATATTTATGTAAAGACTTGAGTTTTCGGGTGACACTGAACAATCTTTTTTCTGCTACATGACGATTTGATGGCAATTCTGCGTTATATACTAACCAAGGTAATCCGACACAATAACGACCATCTTCGTTTCTGGAAAGAGAGTTTAAAAATTGTTCGTGGGCAATTTCTTCCTCAGCAGCGTTAGTTGAATTCTGGTGAGCATCTAATATTCCGATCGTTTCTAAACTCCAAAGATCGGAGATTTTAAAGTCGTGACCCACTAAACTTGCACACAAAATGGAAGCATCTTTATCTTTGTGATTAACAAATTCCTCCGATACACCACAAACTGTCCAACCAAGTTTTGTACAAACTGCTGTTAGTCCTCCTTTTAATTGTTTTACTGATCCCGTGAGAATTTTTCCATAAATATCACTACCGATGAGCATTTCTATTTTTGGACAATCTGCTCCCAGATCCGACAACCAAATGTTGTTTCGTTTTAATTCTTTTAATATTCGGACCCTTGGGTACCCGAGGTATATCCCCACATATTATGTCTTGATCTAAAAATTCAAATTCTAGATCTGAATACTTACGCGGACTGGCTGAACATAATTTTACCAAATATTTGT